TCCTCCTAAGAAGGCCGAAAGCAGGAAACATCTGCCAAATCTTCCCTAGTAATAATTATAGTCCTTTTATAAATATTATAAAAGTTTCAGAACATTTAAAAGCGTCCAAGATTTTGTTGAATCTTCGTTAATTAGTCCTCGAAATAATTGCCGAATAATATAAAAGTGTTTACCTTGAGCCATTCAGCGTTTTGGCAGTCAAAAAACCTCAGACACATTTCCTTCTTAATTCGAAAAAATGAGGAGGCGCCAGTCATATCCTAGCCATAAACAGTAACACCAAAATACAGTCAGATGAGTGCTATTTTTTTTCTGTGTTTTGCTCCTGACTAGTCAAACTTCTGCAGCAGAATGTACTCATTCGACAAATTATTTCCCTTTTACAGGATATTCAGAGAATAAAACGGCTTTGAAGAATTACACGTGACGTTTCGGCTAGTTCAGGTTTTAGTTTAGTTTAGATTTTTTTCTAGTTTAGTTTTTCCTCTTTTCTTTAAAGAATTTATGGGAAAGAGAAGCAAGTGATAAAAAATGTATATCCTCGACGTAGGGTTGGAAATACTGCCGGAAATGTCATGTTTTTTAATTCCATTCACAGCAGAAGCGGTAGGGGAAAACCAACGGGCCTCAAATTATTAAATTTTACTTGGGAAAGGAAAACCAGTCATGCAGCGAACTTCAGTGCTCGCCGCGTTTTTCTGTTACATTGTCCAGTGAGTTACCATGAGGTTACCATGGCCGCGTCGTCATCACGAGGGTGTTGATGTTATTTTTTGTAATTTGCTTCAGTTGTTTGATTAGTTATTTGACTATTTATTGTTCAGGTCAAGCAACAACCAGTTGCAAAAATGTTAAGAAACTCCAGGCAAAAGCTGGCTTTTTCACTGAACATCGCCGCTTGTCACGCATCTGCCTGTGAGCATTACAACCCTCCTCCCTCTGACCCCTCCGTTCAAGGGAAGAAGGAGGAATATTGATCAAATTAGCGCAAGATCATAGACAGGCCACTGAAGCCCAAATAAGATACAGCGTCTCAAGTATTTTTTAAATGCTTGTTGTTTTGCCACTCCATGTTAAATCACATGATCATAGCCTTCCTACACACATACCGGTAATCAAAGGCTGGATTGGAGGGCCGCATGAAAAATAGGTCATGGCACCCGCGCCAAAACAGCGGCGCCTCGCCTAGAGAAACGCTCAGACGGCACGAATTTTATGAATAATATCGGATCTGAGGGGAAAAAAGCCTGCATCCTGTAGATCTCATCACAATTTTCGAAATCCATGAAGTAAGCAAACGCAAATTCTGGCTTATGGTTTCTTGAATCGGGATTTGGTTTTTACTGTCATAGATAAAGAACAAACGTCTAACATTATTCTATTTCTGTATACAGGAGCCCATCAATTGGAGCCTCCATCTCCAATAATTTCTTGAGTCAACCCTTTCCTGAGTATATTTATAAATAGAAAGGCTTGTTTCCCGCGAAAAGTGTCATATTTACATGAGTCTTGTATGTCACCATAACAAAATAAAGTTGGATGAAGTCGAACTCAGAAGCCCGTCCTTCGACCGTTTTCCTTTTTTACTATACGTCCATTTTTACGAATAATTTTACAGCCGCTGAGAACTGGGTATCAATTACCCGACTGAGCATGAAGCGATGGGACGATAGGAGCGAACTGAGGATCAACGAAAAGTTATCTTTGAGATTTTTTTCTTTTTGGCCTCGGAATATTAATGAAGCTCAAGGAATCCGGAATCACATTCACGATTGAAATCCTGGATTTAAAGTCCAATGACAAATTCAGAAATCCAGTACATGGAATCCGGAATCGACAGCGTGGAATCCAGAATCCAAGACTGTAATGGATTCTCCGTTGTTATATGGGACGACTTGTAACTATTGCTGGAAATACAGAGAAACAAAGAGGTGAAATGGGAGTCAGCATAATATAGGCACACTTTGTTGCCGTCTCAGTCCATTCATAATTTCACCTCCCATGTCCACCCAGGTAGGAATGTCATCACAGGCCTGAATCTTGGTTAACACTAGAGATTTTGAAGGTGGTTCATAACTGAAAGTTTTCCACGTGATCGACGTTTTTCTACCTGTGTCATGCAGGGTGGCCGCCATATGTATAGTAAGGAGCCATTAAATCCCATGTTAACGTGTTAGTCCACTTAGTTCAGCAAACCCATACATCAACCATGTCAAAACTGCAAAGGAAACTATCTATATTTAACCTTTAACGACGACAACAGACACTCGGTATAACTTTTAGGGCATCGGTCATTAGCATAATGGGCCTGAAGGATTTTTCATCTCGATCTCCTCGCGCACTTGTCATCGGCTTTCCCCTAGGGGGAAAGCGGCATAGGGAGAGCAGGAAAGCACTCGGCTGTACCCAGGAGTCTAAACATTCTCTCTCGAGACAAACCTATTAGTACTGTATTGTTTGACTTTCTTGTCTCCCCAATTCTCTTCGGCGTTTAAAAACAAAGCCTCCCCCCCTTTACCCCGCCACGATAAGCTGCTTACAATGCAGGGTGGTGCGCGTTATTGCAGTTGAGCACTGTGTTTGAAGCCTTGAGCAGAAGTGAGTCTGGTAAACTTGATTTTGATAGAAACCTCACTGCTTTTCAGATATAAATGATGTTCTTATGCACATTCTAAGTGTACTGAGGTGTCTATGAAAACAAGGAAGCAATGTCACCGCCAGCCTCTCTTCCATTCAGTGGCTAGGTTGCTCAGCACGCAACTGTAAATTGACCTCCAATTGCACATCTCCCAGGATACACCTTGTTTTGCCATACCCCACCCCATTTAGCTTACCGTAACCTTTGTTTTTTTTTCTCCTGGGTTTTATAGTCGCCCCAAGAGAAATTGAAGACAATGCCTATGCAAAATTTTGCGGGCAAATAAGGTGTATTATGGGAGATGCCAAATGGTGCATCAAGGAGTGTTCAAAACACACTATCCAACGGTCTTCTATCCGCATTATAAGAATCTTGATACTAGAAACCATAAAAAACGTGTTGGATAAATTAAGTTTTATTTAACTAACTTTTAATTTCTTACATAAATGAAAGAGACCCTCTTAGCGTCAGCTTTTTAAATAAATATAGAATAAATACTAGGTGTTTCGATATACAAGCAATTACTTTAGCTAACACAAAAATTCATTAAAATCTCTTGTTTCTAATAAATATTCTACTTCTCAAATGGGTGGCATTGATTTGGAACTGAGAATGGTTATGAAGAAAATGACTAATTTTGTTTTTAACAAATGTAAGCATATACAAGTTGTTTCAATCATTGACAACTTGAAACAAGATCTCCGCTAAAATGGAATCTTAAGCCCCATTCACACCAACTAAACATGTCTAACTGGGTTTAACAAAATGAAAAATAGTAACAGAAAAATGGAACACAGGCTTTTACACAGAATTCAAATAAACTTTAGCACGTTTTGTAATTGCACAAAATTTACTATCAACAGAAGTACAGTAAGCCGCTTCTAAACCGGTAGCTAAACTGTTTTTAAACATGTTTAACGTTTGGTGTGAATGGAGCTTTAGGCCTCTTCTAAAAGGATACTTTTTATGTTTCATATTTCGAACGTCCGTCCACATGTATACAGACACAGAAAATCCTTTCCAAAGTACAGATGTTTAACCCGTGCAATCGTGAGGACGGATTAATCGCGAAGGATGGGTTTCCGTAATTATTACCGCTTGGCGATATTTAAAAACTAGAAATCCCTTAAGGACAGTCTTCTAGCTATTGACAGTTATTTAGTATAAGAAAATATAAGAACCATAAATCGATATTAAAATAAATTTACTTTCATATAGAAGCAGGATCGAGCATCAGACCCAAACTGACAAGTCTACCTTGATAGACTGGCTGACTTGAAATCCTGAATTGATGTTAGTAGATACTTTTTCTCTTATGCGAATAGATGTTATTCATATACATGTATGAATTAAAATAATAAATAGTTTTAAGCGGGACAAAATAAGGACTTAACATTTTGTAATGTTCTTCTCATATGGTGGGTAGTTTATAGTGTGGACGACGGAAAAGACACTGAAACGGATAAGTTTGAAACAGATATTCGCGTATAAGTAATGGTAACAGGACTGAGTGGAGCCCAATTAGGTCTGTAATCATACGGATGATTAACAAAATCGGACGACCGCGTAGCGGGAGTCCGATTTGTTTAATCACGAGTATGATTACAGGCAGAATTGAACGACACGAAGTTCTGTTACCAATTAATCATAACTTTAACAAAATTTCTGATGTATAAAGCTCTTTTTAAAATCAATACACAATAGATTCCAAGCCTTTTAAGCGCGCACGTGATGGCGCGTATTGTCCAATTACTTACACATGACGCGTACTGTCCTACTAAACTGTCCGATTAAGGCTGAAATCAGGGCAGTTGATAACCAATCAGATTTGAGAATTTTGTTATAGTTATGACTAAAAGGAGTAATAGGTGAAATTATACATCGCGGACACCTTAGTATAAAGAAAGCTTCCCTTGCAGATACCGTAAACTTCTGCTTATAAACCCTGGGCTTAATATACAACTTCGTAAGGGGTTTTAAGGGGTTCTTATTGGGGGACTAGGGGGAAGGGGCTTATAACCTAACTTAAAAGCGTTTCAAAACATTTCCCCTGTTTCAATACAAGCTAGAGGGGGCTAGCCTGCGAACAGACCGGTAATACGTCTGCTGTTCACAGGCAATGCGGGAGGGGGAGGGCTTATAACTGGATGTATTTTTTCTTGTTGTTTTCAGGTAGATGAACCGATAACTGGGGGGTAAAGGGGGGGTTGTAAGCTGAAGTTTACGGTTTCGCAGTGGTCGCTCCACAAAATCCATCTCTGCGTCTTTAGAAGTACACCTATGATCTGTAAAATGGAGGTTGAATGTGTTCCTTTTAGGGCGTTCTACTGGATTAGTTAATTCTTACATGAAAAATTATTTCTTATGAACATGATCGCCTCTTGAAATAAGCTTTGCGATCAGTCGTGTCAGGTCCTAACGTAGCCTGTCCTGCGGAATCGGTCATGATATACTCCTTTGATGCAGCCGATTGTATTTTATAAGTTTTACAGTTAGTACATACCGCGACGAAGAAAAATCGATGGTGATCTGTTACGGAAGAAACTTGCTAGAAAATAAAAGTAAAAAAATGACCATAAATTTTTTTTAGAACGGCTTTGCAAGAATGCTTTAAATTGTAATATTTACCGATTGGTTTTCAATATAAAACACTGAGAGAGGTCACATCCGTCTTCGTGATAGACAGGTCCAGGAGCCCATAGGCCGGAGCGGGCAACTCCTATTCTAGGTCTATTTCCCCTTGTTTCTACTGACCAGTTTATTCTTAGACACCTTTTAGGACACCCAGTTTCGGCGAAATAGAGAATACTTCATGGAAAGTGCTGGCGTACGGTATTTACGTACGAGTTGTTGACGTATCAGAAATCGAACGAGTGAGCGTAGCGAACGAGTAAGATTTCTGATACAAAAACAACGAGTGCGTAAATACCGTACAAAGCACTTTCCATGTGGTATTGTGTTTATTATATACATACTGAGTCATTCATCATTTTGCGGGCCTTTTTATTTTAAATCTTTCAAAAATGCTAAAATTTGCCGCTACACACTTACCGCAAAATGACAACGAAAACGAAGTATCAGCTTTTTAGTAAAAACGTTTGTTAAAAACATAAATGACGGTGAGGATATGAGGTTTAATCCAAGAACTATAAGTAATCTTAACTGTTTGTTCTCAATGCACAATTGAAAATGAGTGAATTTAAGTAAAATGGCCGGTTTCAATATAAGCTTAAGCTTAAATGAAAGGCAAAGTAGCTCCGACAAAAAGCACAACAAAAGCTTACGTCTCGTTCTGTTTATCCCTTTCCGCTGTTGTTTCGCCGGCTCTCTACCGTATTTTTTTATCGACAGTGAAACAAACGAAACTATTCCACTCCATTTCCGAAATGTTTTACTCCTTGAGTAAAACTTTTCTCGTTGATAAATGTGTGCGAAGCGGCGCTGCAAGCTGCAATAGAAGGCGGGAATTTTGGCGCGAAACTCGCACACCTCTGTGGCTTCTGATTGGACGTATCATTTTTCTCACACGTGAAAAAACATCGTTCGCGATTCTGATTGGACGTATCGTTTTTTTCACGTGTGAAAACCATCGTTCGCTCCTCTGATTGGCTATAACTAATTTGCGTACGAAAATTTACGACATAGCTTTTTGGTGAGTATTTCTCAGTATGTATATAATAAAATAGAATCTCCACCATGTCTATGAGCGAATATCAAAAAGGAAAGCTAAACATTCTGAAAAGGCAAAAAATATTATTTTTAGGTCTGTAGGGTTTTGCTGTTTTAAAAGACACCTTATTATAGGAAATTAACGATGCACTCATTATTAACGCGATTATAAAACATCGCGTTAAGTTAATGCATCTTAATTTACGTCGATGTTAATGGCGGGCAACAAGAGGAGCCCGCAGCCTTATCTTGACTTGGTCAGCGGCACTTTATTACTAGAGATTCCGTTGTTCTGCCAACTAATATGCACTGCATGGGTAGAAGTTGGAGAAAGAAGAAGAAGTGCAAGAAGAAAAGCGAGTGTTCGGAAAGAGTGACTTGAGCCTAATACAATTGATTTCAGTTTAAGCTTATATAAATCCTCAAAGTTAAACACTTGTTCTCCATTTCTCTCATTGCTTTCACGGTTGGTGTTTAGTTTTCGAGGCATGTTTATTAATTTGCATAAAATGTCAGCAAGTCCACAGTAACAAACCAATGAGTGGTGCCGGATCTTCCAGTTGTCAGTAGACCTGGATCAGTACAATTAAACTTGTAGAAAAATATGAAACGGCAAACTAATCCTTACGGCAAGGCGATGAAGATGTAAACAAAAGAATAAAACAACAAAATTTCAGTTTGTCTAGGGCATTGCGTAGCTTGTTTGCCGGTCTGGAACTATTTACCCAGGAAAATGAAAGTAGAGCCTGATCTCAGCTTAGTGCGGGACAAGTTTTCGGTAAGATACGAGTGTTAGCAAAGTCTAGAAATCGATGTAAGTTTATTCAGGTTTTACTTGTATCCAAGCAAATGTGAATAAAATCGTTGAATTAAATATGTGTTTGCTGGTTCAATCCCGTCTAGTTTTCATGATCGGCAATGATATCCTTTTGTTGACACTGGAACAAAAAGGGCTCCCACAATTGTGAAAGCAGTTTTCATCAATCACATCTTCGCCCCCATCTCCTAACCGACGGCTACTGCTGGTTTATATCACACTATTTTACATCATTGTTGCTCTACAGCACCTATATTTCAATAACAAATTAAACCTCGTCTGCTCATAGTTCCTCTATCAGCGCCTAGGAGTCACTATCTGACAGTTCTTCTTTAAGAATTGAGTTCAAAATGTCTTTCGACTGGTCTTCGTCCAAGGGAGCGTTCCCTTTCCAGATCCACTCACGGAGTAATAACATGATCAATAACAATGAGATAACAATGACTGGAAATGTTGCTGTTTCTTCCGTTAGATATGTATGATGAGAAGTTTGTATTGCAGCAAATTCGAGTAAAATAAAGTAAGGCCGCATTGTTTTTTAAAAAATTCGCGTTAATTTGATGTATGTAAACCTAACTTTTGGAAAATTCGCGTTAATTTTGTGTAACGTAAATTTTCTTCGCGTTGTCAACGTTCATCTTTAATTTCCTATAATAAGTCATAAAAAATACGCGCCAAAACCGGCCTAAAAATAAACTAGTCAGTAAAAATGCCGTGACACGGACGCATGGAAGTTTCTCGCTCGGGGTTATGGGCTCCTGACATGTCTCAGTTTCCCCCGTGCAACCCCGTATTCTTTCGATAAGTCATTTTTGTCAGAAACGTTACCCCATTCCATTACCTTCTATTGATAAATGGTACCCCTTTCACACACCTAGTTTAGAACTTTGTAAATATGAATTATATCACTAAACTACGAAATTTCCTTGATTCTTTCACAACCAAAAATTGCGTCTGTTAGCTGAGCCCTTTAAGGTCCTTTTACAGAACTTGATGACAGATTTCCAAATCATTAATTTTATATCCTTCAGCTAGTGAAATCCCTACCCTTTATGAAAGAGGTCATTCTTTTGGGGGGAACTTTCCTGTATAGGCCATGATAGGGAGTATCCTTCTGGACAGGTTCCAAAGGCCTAGTCCGGCAAGAGAAGAGGTCCTAGTTTTATTTTGAGGTGATTATCGCAATAACCCTTATCTCTATTACTTGTGTATCTTTAACTTTCCCAGACAAAAAAGAAATTAATAAAAAAAATAGTAACAATTAAAATAAGCCTGAAAGGGTTGTTTCCTTGGCAACAGTCTGTACTGTAAAATGAAATCCTGATCAAAAAACAACCAATTAGAGCACCCCATTCAGCCCCCCTCCCCCCCCCTCCCCCCCCTTGGAGCGCCCCATTCAGCCCTCAGAAATGCTTGCCATATTAAACTAATGAATAACCCTTGTGAAGCTTACCTCCAACACTATTTTTCCGCCTCTTACGGCCAAGTAGTATTTTAACCCGTTGATATTGGATTTCCAGTGCATTGTAGTAACTGATCTCGGAGTGTCTCCTTTTTTAGCCTGATAGGAACATCTTTTAAAATGGAACTCTGTCGGTGTGGCAGAAAACAAAAATAAAATTCGATGAAGACAGCCATTTCTAGATGTTGTTTTTCTAAAAATACTCTACGTCAAGCGTTCTTAGTTTTCTTTTCCTCGTCGTAACATCTGATTTATGAAATACCAAACTGAATTTCTGGGAACATATTCAAAGTTGGCAGAATATTAGTCCTTTTTCTGCTTGACTCAGTGAATTCATACGACCCGACGACCGGGCAATCAATTCAATTCATGAATACGAATTGCTGCCGTCATCAGCCATCATGGATCCACCATAATGAGACAACATTTCATGGTTTCATCTATAGAGCGAACATATTATTAAGCAGATGAGATTATAACGAAACATAACTCTCCCTTACCAGTAAAGCTTTGAGTTCTCAGTCCGTCAAATGCTATTTTAGTTGGAATCCCACTTTGAACTTCTACCTTCATGTACGAATAGCTAGTATTATTGATCTTATGACGATAAACTGAGCGCAGTTTGCATTTTTCCGACGGCATACAGCTTGTGGCATAATTACATAGAAAACCTGTGACAATAATCAGGCCCTGAAACGAAAAATAACACAGAACTTTAGCAGAGTTTTTTGTTAATTACCATTCCGCCCTGTTTGGGCCATTTTCCCCTGCTTTATATGTTTTAATTATCAGAAGTTGTACAACTGGGTCCTTTTCAGCTCTAAGAAACAGTGTCGGTATTAATAGAGTGTCCGTAGAGTTTAAGCGGGTGATATTATAATGTAAAAGACATCTTTTAGTGTAAGGGCAAAATACTACAGGAAAAAAGAGGACAGTCATAAGCATCGTCAGATTAGGTGTAAACATGTCTAACCTTCACAAAGCCTTCATTCCGCGGAATACATCCACGGAAATATAGTGAAAAATCGCCCTCGCCTATATTAATATAATCAAAACCGCCAGTCTTTGCATAACTCAGGGGCACCCAACGGCAATTTTCGGGAAAATATCTGTTCGGAAGACGATTTGAGAACTAGAATTTTCGGAACATTTGTTGTGTTTTCGAACATCTACAAAATGGTATAATTACCCATTTTAATCGGATATTTGCCCTAAAAAAGGCCACCTAGAATTTTCGGGAGCTTTTTCCTGGCTGAATTTTCGAAAAGGTAAGTTTTGATCCCTATAATATTCGGATCACTAGACTTTCAGCTAAGAAATCCGAACAGATGAAAAGTTTTTAGGGGATAAAAATATGCCTATATCTACCGTTTAAATACTAAAATACGTTCAAAAATGCTATGTTAAGTGGTTTTGAACTATATCCTCGTTGGGTGCCCCTGATAACTCGTTTGATGCCAAAATAATCTGAATAGTCTACAATTAATCCTATTTGGTGTACTGTAGCGTTGGGAACATCGGCATGCATTCAACTGAGGGTTTTTTAACATTCTACAATAAAAGGAAATGTCTAATACTGACAGCATAAGTGAGTTTGACTTTGTATGAGAATCTGATGAATGGGTAAGAAAGTGGAGGTGTCCATTGTCTGCATTACGGGTGTCCGTATTAAGCGGGTTGAATTTGGGGAAAATGTAAAGGCGTTTTCCCAGGGACGAAGAAAACTGTCTGTTACACAAGGTGTTCGTATTTAGCGGGTGTCCGTAAAGTGAGGTTCGACTTTACTCATGACCAGGACTTTGTTTAGCTGGCGAGAGGTTGTGCAAGTTTCTTACTAATCCACGTGAGCGTAAGTTGCAATTTTTGATATAATCTATTTGCAGGGGCACCCAATTTTCTGAACATTTTTTTGCAAAATTTCTTGCTTGTCTGCCTCTCCTAGGATTTTCGGACATAATTGTAGTATAATTGCCCATTTTTAACGGATTTTTACCCTCTAAAAAGGTCACCTAAAATTTTCGGGAGCCTTTTTTCTGGCTGAAATTTTCGAAAAGGTAAGTTTTGATCCCTCTAATTTTCTAATCACTAGACTTTCAGCTAGGAAATCCAAACAGATGAAAAATTTTTAGGGGATAAAAATATGCCTATATCTACCATTTAAATACTAAAAGATGTTTAACAATGCTATGTTGAAGTGGTTTTGAACTATATTCTCGTTGGGTGCCCCTGTATTTGGGCAAATAACTTCGTGTTTGAAAAAGCAACAATGAACGACAGCATTTTTCTCGTCTGTTAATTGTTAATCTTTTATCGAATATGAGTATGAGCCCGCACTCTGCCTTTTCTGTTCTAGTCATGTCGACATCTTTTCTGCAGACGTGATTTGATTTGCCTTTTTGGTGGCTGTTATCATATGAAAGTTTCCTCGAAGGGCTTTATTGGGCTAAGGATTTTCCCTTACCAAACCCTTGCCGTGGGTGTCGGATGCATATACTGTAGGTGTAGCCCGCACCCCCAAATACGAGGACAAGCCACGCCCAAACACGCGATAAAATCGCCATATACTAGCTAAACACTCGCTATTGTCATTTTTAGAAAATGTTTCGTTGAAATATAAACCTGGACGTCTTTCCTGATTTGTTACAAATGTTGGAGTAAAATCCAAAGAGCATGAAGGAAATAAATTCTCAGTAATCAGTACTGAATCCGTCTTGCCTTAAAATTGAACTGAGAAAGTGGTATCAGACACTGAGTCATGACATTACTTAACAGACGGGATTCGTGACGAGAGCCGGATCTACAGAAAAAGTTTTAGTTAGTTGTAGTTACCGGATGCCCAGTACAAACACTTTTTTCTATCAACGGTTTTATCAGTTAAGTTCACGTAATTGACTCTTAGGTCAGGGCTTCGAAAAGCATTACTTCAAAGAGGACAAAGTGTTTTAAGTGTGAAGTTATTTTTAGCACGGAGAATAAGCTACGGTGAACTAAAACTGGTTCTGTCATCCAACGGTCTTACAATGCCAGAGGATTTTGACCTTGAAAAAGTTGAAAAGCATTGATATGCAGACAGACAAGAAAGGAAATAATTGTTTGAATACAGAAGTAAGTTCTTCTTTCAAATTTTTACTCTAGATTACGGCTTTCGACAGTTAAGCCCTTACGCTCGATTAAACATGCTAAAATGATAACACAGGAACAAACAAATTATTGAACTATTTCCGCTCGTTGAAACGAACTGCCGTAATTGCCGTGTTTTTGTCAAAAAACCGCACCCGAGTAAAGTTCCGGAAGTAAAAGTGTGGGAAGTGCAAGTGTCCCTGATAATTATTTATCAAATGGGCATACACAAGAAAGTCAGTCTTGTTTAGCCGACAAGTCCCCCCAAAAAAAAAAAAAAACAGTAAGCAAACAAAGGCTTATTTTTTTGTGATCAATTTGTCGGAAACCTTACGAGTAATTGCTGATCAACGACTCCATAGGTTGCAAAAGGCTGTTTTTGTTAAAATAGATATCAATAATAATTTTCAGAGGCAAAGATTAAAAAAACAACAACGAACATCTTTAGTTGAAACTAGAACACGTTGCAGCGTCTAATTTAGTCACTGTCTTCAAAAATGTTTTTAATTTCAATATTTAGTTTCGATCCTTGACGGCTCACTGAATGCCTTCGAGTAATATCATGTCAGTAGTTGACAATGTCTAAAACAATCGGCAACACTGGAACAAACAATGCAAATCAGAAGCACATGACTAATTGGGTAGTTGCGGTGAGCTCTGAGTGCGATGAAAAGTCACACTTAAGAACGATATGAATCTGCATACTCTCAAGTACTCTTTGCACTCTCACGGGTACAAAGTACAGTAAAAAAGCTAATTTGAAAGAAAACTTGGGTATGATGATAATAAAATGATTACACTGAGTTAGATACTTTGCTATAAAGATCTTCTGCTTTCCCGGCTTTGTTGACAGTTCCGGCCGTGTTGGCAACAGGGAAATTTTCATGCATGTTAAAACTGCCCTCCGTACGTGTCTCTAAACAGTTAGTTGATAAAATTTAAGAGTATGAAAAAAAGAAGCAAAAAACAAGGGCCTCTCGCGATTTCAGTCATTTAGCAATAATACCTTAACATATGGTGGGAGCTAGGTTTTAGTGTTGTACTCTACGATACTAAGTCCAACCCCGGACGCGGAATTATATTAGTTCAGCTCCTCAACTAAACAAACTTTGGCTTGAAAACTAAATAAATACTTTCAGGTGTTTTATCTTAATCTATCTCTTGGTAAATAACAGTTCCCAAAGTGGGATTTTCTCCTGGAACTTCATAAGTAAATTAAAGATCATAGGTTGGGTATATGTATTAAACCCGTTTCAAAATGAGAGTCATTTTTTCATACTTTTGCTGACACTACTGTTCATGTTGTTAAGTAAGTTACTTACCAGAAGTGTTTTCGCCATGTTCACGGTATTCCCTAAACAACGAGTTCCAGCTCGGAGAAACGATGATTATTTTTGTTCTATGCATTTAAACTCAGGCCTTTTTATACCTTGTGAAACGTGCTCATAAAGAATCGGAAATTTGAAATTAAAGCCCGATTTTAATGCCGATTGTCGGTCAGTTTGTTTTTCCGTAAAATTAATAACCCGCCCCTTTCTTGGTCGGAAAATCTTCGCTTATGCACGAAGGCCATTCAGAAATTAAAGCTTGCATAGTCTAGCAAATGTTTGCGCTTATTTAATTGCTAGCGTTCAGGTAGTCATAAAACCACATTTAAAGAACCGCTTTCATCTTAAGAGAATACCGAGTCAGAGTTCTAATTCATGGGTGTGGTCAGGAGTAGACGTACCCTTACCCTCTGATGAGTTGGCGGTTGGTCATCCGACGAGGATGGTGCTATTATTTATAAGATTAAATGAGGAGAGAGGGGCGGAGGACGTGCATTAAATTTGCCTAAACTAAATCATTCAAATTTATATACGATAATAATAATAATAATATTTATTAATTAAAGCAAACAAGAAACACGACAATGTCATAATTCGGAAATGACCGTTACATGGTGGTATGGAAAAATCAACGTGTGGCATCCTATCTTTTGCATTGCCATTCAGGATTATTCAACTGTGTGGTCAATACTACAACCCTTTTGGTTTAGGGCACAAAGACATGTTTTCCGAGTGTAAATGAATTTAAAGTATTTCTCTTAGGTGCATATTCCAGACATTACAGATACCGAGTCAATATAAACTTAATTGCAAAATGACAGTTTAAAAGAATAAGTTAGAGTATATCCGTCAAATACCACACACATACGCACGCAAAAAGAGACTCGAGGGAACACGGACACTTAAAGACCTTAACAAAGAGGAAGTTTTTAAACTATACAAACAGAAAACTCACACACGACGACAATCGAAAAAAGATGATTTCTACATCCGGCGGTATAGCTTTTAACATCACCTTCCCACTTAATGTGCTGATACAAAGAATTATATATGCAACAAATGTACTTTAAAAAAGCGTTTGCAAAAAAAGGATGAACTTCGCGTGCAGTTGCTGCGCGCAAGGAGTTTCTGTTTAGATAAAAATGCAGGATACGTACGTACAGGACACATGGTTTGCTGAACCTTGTGTGGTGATAAAACAGTTTTACTCCCCCACGCTTTTAATCTTGTCTAAATTACTAGATTCCTGAATCTCGCCGCTGAAATACCTAAAATATTTATGCATTGTTTTGGTTTAGGAATTGATCCTCAATCTCGGGGCAACTGGCTAACAGCGTCATACTGGTCAGTTCGACCCAAAAATAAATAAACTTAGATGAAGTTGTATTACACAATCCTTTATTATGTATTTGTTTCCAATAATTTTATTTATGTTAGTTATTGTGAACGTTAAATATGTACTTAGCAATGGTCATAGGTTAAAAGCAATCTAAAGCTCAGTAAACGGCCGTGTCAGCTGAACGTTCTCACGCCCAAAATTCAGTGTTACTATTGGAAACATAGAAAAAAGACCGTAAAAAATGTAACTAACGTCATCCATCAGGGCAAAAAGTAGGCACAGCCACAATTGTTATCTACAGTTTCTTCAACATACTATATTTCTTTTTAAATTCCAGGTCTGTAATTTCGATTCAATACTCCAGCTGCATTCCCTAGGATCAATGCAAACAGGAAATGGTAATGACTTTTTGCGTTTGACCACAGCGTGTGGGCCGTAGGCCAGGGCATCTCATGCAACCTTTTCTTTTTAAGAAATTGCTTAATCCAATTACGCGTGCTCTTTAACACGTTCATGTTCTTTATCTTGAATTTATCCTAAATGTTTATGTTTTTTAAAGAACACAACTTTATGAACATTTATAAATATCTTTACTAGTGTTTATCCAAACTGATTTTTATTTCCTATTTGGGATGATTAAGATTGTTAATTATTAAGTCATTTGGACTAATTGACGTGAGAAGAGTCAACCTACTTGACCCAATTTTATCATTTTCCTTTGATATTCGTTAGAGTACCAGATACTTCCTGGTTCACTTACTAACTCATCATGCTTCTTTTATATAGTCATCAAGTTAACCGCAGGAGATTTGGCAGAAACGAAAACACTTGTTTTATTGAGAAACCTTTGGCCTTGATTTAAACGCCGCCTAGAGAAAAAAGAGGCTGCAGTGTAGATTCAGATTATAGATTCAGTTGAAAAAGCACTAGAGCCCTTTCAATCGGTATGAGATGAACAATATCTGATCCTTTCTCTTAAAAGCTTCAGGAAACTTGAAAAAAGATTTTAGGCAGGATTTTGTGCTTTTCAATTAAGGAGGCTGCAACGTGATACTCAGTGTCTACAATGAAAGAGGGAAAATATTCTGTCGCAGCTTCAACAAGCAATGTATGATATAAGAAAGTCTTGAAGTACTTCAAGAGTTGTTTTTAAGGCTACCCCTTCTAGGTACCTGAGATTGTGTTGACAGCCGGCGTTCATGCCAAAATCCTAAACAATGTACGTGAGTTCTTAAACTGAGCATCCAAAATCGGTTGCGACCTGACTAATTGACGTGAGAAGAGTACATCTTACGTTTGTGGTTATGCTCTGTTTTCTAAGCTTTCAGTGCTAGGCGGTCTGTTAGGCTGAAGCAGAAGAGATTAGTGGGTGGCATTCATGGTCATTCAACTAAGCTCTAGTTAGCCAGTTTAAGCTATCAGATAACTACTTGGCCACTTCACCTAGGTTTTGGAGCCTAAACCTTATATCTTCTTATATGGTCAAACAAGATCATTAGCCGCTCTAACAGTTATTTTGAGGGCTCTTGATGCTATGCACGGTACACTCTTATCAGCTTGATCATGTTTGATAGATTAATAAATAAACACTCTAAGGGGCTGCAAACCACTATGCTGCAGAAAGCAGGATCTAAAGAAGACCTGATCAGCAAAAATAACCAAGTAGAATCACACTGAAATCTGCAAAGCTTGTAGATAATTATATTGATAGACCAGGCTATTGGGCAGCTTTCACAGCACAGCCGGACTGTTGTCTCGATTGTAGTCCCAGAGTTGAGGTGGTTCTAGTAATTATTGAGTCAATGAACCACTGCTGCCATTGGATAACCAAAAAGCAGAACATTTATAACAGTTATGGACAAATTATCAGATTTCATACTAACGTGTGTCAAATCAGAATGAGAGGCCGCGCCATAATGTGACCTACTATACAGCAAGTATGCCAAAGCACGTTCGTTCTAATGACGATCACGCTCAGAGCTAAACAGAGCATAACCACAGTTTAAAGTCACATAAAATATTGGGTAGTGTCCTTGAAAATCCGACTTCAGTCACAGCGCTGCAATGAAATGTCTAGACTTTCAAAAAAGTCCTTTGTCCCATTTAATATGGCGCAGGACGAATACCTCTCGCGACTTGGTCACTCGCTTGGCCGCTTCGCGGCCTAACAAGCTTACAAGTTCCGCTCGCCCTAAGAAACACGTGAGGTCAACTTGTTGCAAGTTTATGAAATGTCACGCGCGGGCACTTTTCCAGTTGCTTGAACAAAACCAATAATTCCCACTCACATCACCATAATTACTAAGTTTGGTTAAAGCTGACTTATTATCTCACTACCGTAGTGACGCAAGTTGTGCCTCGCACGTCTTGCCGGGTTTGTTTAATACAGAAGCACTATGATAATATAGGGGTTGACCTTGCTAAAGGAATTTTTGCAACGTGTAGGCGAGGAAGTCAAGTGTATTTGCGTTGTAGCTGCACTTCCAGTAAAGATTAAGATACTTTAACTAACAAAAATCTCTTGTTGAGGTTTATTGCATGAGATGCTGCATGCGACTGGTTGGCAGATATAGCAAAGGCCAGGCAACGTCAAATAAAAAGGTGAAAGCGCGCGGAAAGGATCCGGTGATCAATTCGCCTCTTCGTCATTAGACTGCGTGCGCCGTCATCACTCTTTGATGCTAAATATGCCTAGGTTTAGTTAGAGCGCGCGTTGACGTTTTAAAATATGCTCAGTATGCCAGATCTGCTTCAAGAAACTTTGTCCCCATTATGTTTAGTCGGGCCCAATTGAATTAAAGAGAAGATTCCTTTCAATAGTTGGCGTCAAAATGATTATGGCGGCGGAGGAATTTTTTGACTAGTTAAGAGACCCCTAAAATTGTCTCTTTTTATAATAGTGACAAAAAGAGGAGAAAATTTCACTTTCGAGGCCTATAAGTTATATCTCACTTTAAGTGTGACAGCTTATATACCGTCACTCAGAATGCACTTGCAGAGTTATAAAAACAACCCTCAAACCCTTAAAATAGCATTTAAGTTTTTTGTGAGGAATTAAATGTCGATTGATTCCGTATTCTTTTGTGTTCATTGGCTTTGCAAACAACCCAGTCAAGGATTGAAAGTGATTGGTTGTTCCAGTCCATAGTTAATTAAAGCATTTACTTTTACATTATTCATACCAGACCAAGGCCTTTTAAAGTTAAAGTTCCTTCGAACAAGAAATCAGTATATATGTTGTGGTTCAATTTTATCCTAATGGTTTAAAATATATTTCCCTTTGTTTGAAACTCATTATCATACATTACCATACCCAAAAACAAAGGGAAATAAAATTTAAACCAAGGATAAAATTGAACCATAACATATATACTGATCGTAACAACGGATTTTTTTTATTTCCAAAAGTGAATTTGGTTTTTTAAAAGCTTTGTCTCTTATCTCTACTGCTCACTCTCTTTTAATAGAAATCTTTAAGCTGCCAGCACTTTTTATGGACACATTGAAGTCTGCAAAGCTGATCATTTTACGTGAAAACTAACTTTACTAGACATTAACACGACACCGCTAGAACGCAAAACAGAGTGTGGTCCGTCTACAGCTGTTTCAGTAGCCGTTATTGTGGTTCGTCCTATGTGTCTTCTTGGTATATTTTTGTTGATCAGTCTTCTTTAGATCCTACATTGGCTTAGGTGAATTCGTTTGCGGTCCTTTGCAGTTCATGTTCATTTCTTTGAGCAAACCTCAGAGAAAATCTCGATATAGGCTTTGAAGCAAATTCTCTACCTAGGGTTTAATGGTTGTGCGCAGCAAAAGAAGTTTTTTATGTTCTTTCAGAGACATTAATTTGTTTTTTTTTTCTTTTTTGATCAGCTGTTCTGATTCCCATGCAATTTCATCCTCATCCGCTAAAAAACACAAACAAAACGACAAACTCACAATAAAAATATACATATACCGACCTATGAACCTTTCGTAAACGGAATGCGAATGAACCGGAAATTCCAGGTCTTCTTTAAATGAAAAGAAACATGTATTTTTTTGTACAGCCCCTGTCAATAATTCGAGTATATGTGAGGTATTTTATTTATCACCATGTCACATAAAACACTAAGTACGTACATTGCGTTCTTTATTTATTTTGACTCTTCCGCTTTCTCTCCTTTTTTTCTGCGTTTCTCCTCTATCTTAAGCAATGCGGTGCCCTTATATAGCTAAAAAACGCATTCGGCTTTGCTTAAATAGTAATTATAATAAGATGTATTACACAAAAAATCTTGTGAATGGATTAGTCTTATGTCCGCCTCTGTTGGGCTAACCTGCGCGTGGTTGCTCAAAGCGACTTCCCTTTTTGTGCTAACTTTTTGCAAAAACTCTACCCTTGTTCCGGAGAATTTTCTGCACGCAAAAAAGAAAGAACACGAGAAAATCTTTTAAAACGACAGCGAGCGGTTGCAAATAAAAAAAAATTTCCCCAGAACCTTTTAAAGTCGCTTTATGCAACATGACCATAAAAATCAGAGGGAAACGATGTTTGTTGTTTTGTTCCGTCTCTCTAAGGAACAAATAGGTAATGTATATATCTGGGTATTAAAAAACCACAGTATTTTTAAAACCTTTTAATCTAACAGATGACAACTGGGTAAAGTACCATGTCAGTCTTTTAACTGATCTTCAGCGGCACCTTTTAATTTAGCCAATAACTGGGATATTTGCGGTCGATAATACGGGTATTATCTTGACCGTCCATATTCCAATAGCTGCTAGAAAATAACTGGTGAAAAGCAAACCCGGATCAAACCTTAAGTCAAAGTTAGCGGCTTAAAATTCAACAAAGGCTTCTTCAATATTTTATTCTGTCTTATTTTTTAAGGTGAAAATGCAATTTGCACGACTAAGACTAAGTTCTGTTGTTCATGGACGGCTTCAGTGATGGCCGCTGTCATTTTCGGGAGGTGCAAAACTGTTCTCGTCGGCAGAGATTTAATCTGCAATTCAGATCAAACTCTCTTGTACTTCTTTCAATTTTTTAATACTTTTGGACGTCAAATACAAGGTAGAGATTTGGCTTACATTGGAATGCAGTCAAGCCATTTAGAGGTAAGCAAACGGAGATTTAAATAACAACAAACAACGGAATCATGAGGGCCGAGGGGGTAACCTTTTTTGTCGGCCTACTAATAATCATGTCATTTTAAAATGATGGCGGTGCCATTGCTATTCGGAGAGAATGTTTCTCAATACCCTTAGTTTGTCGGGTCGTATCCTAAGAACAGATTAAGCCATAAGGTGTTTAGAACGCCTTTACTAAAGAGTGGCCATCGACAAAGTTATTTGAAATATGCTCTATAATTTACAAAAGTCTGAATGGTTACGAAAACTTGTGCTTATGGACTATAAGGAAGTATCTTAAGCCCCATAAAATGTAGAAAGATAATGCATGGTTTGCTTTACATTTAGCGAGTGAATAAAGAGTAATGTTTTATCAGGCAAAGCACAAAGTGTGTATGATTCATTTAGTCAAGGTCAGTAAACCGTTCGAGTACGAGAAAAATCGTTCATGTTCCCTTCAGTATACATGCGGGCCACAAGGCCTTCATCTGATGTATCAGTAAATGTAATGTACTTTTCAAGGTATAAATGACTAGTTAGTAATAATCGCCTACACGACGTAGAGTTAAGTATATTGATTTCAACAATTATGTTCAAGTTGATGATTTGTCGGCCGGCCAATAAACAGTTTGTGAGGTTAGGAAAGTGTTGTTCTACGCCTGGTTCAAACTTATAGGCCACAAATAATTATCAGTAAATGAATGGGCAGAAACAATTAAGCCTTTAAAACTAATTTGGCACATTCAGGCAAGCCATAAAAAGCTAGACATTTGTTATAAAAACAAGAATGCAGTGTCATAGCCTGTCTGCTTTTTATACAGACCCTTGCTTCTTTGAAAAATAAGCATGCCAAGAGATTTGAAAAATTGAGAAAACATAATAAGCAAAATAATCTCAAAATAACAACCTGTTTCCCTGAGGTTAGTCAGAGCTTTAACTTTTAGTGTAAGGTTGCTGTACATAGCCGGTCGATGCAATTCAGTGAACGAGTTCAGTTCCGGCAGTGGCATACCGATACAGTTCGTGATCTCGTGATTTACCTTGCAACAAAATAGCGTTTTAAACCTTGTAGTTTCTTCAAAAAATGTATCTATATTTTAATTAATGTAATTCCCAGCGTTCAGTAGAGTTCCAAGACGAATTACTCGCCGTGTACGATCAGGAAAGCCATTCGGCCTGACACCCTAGGAAAGGTTATTGTCGATCACCGTCAAGTTCAGTTTTGAACTTCATGGGATTCCCCTTTGCATGTTAGCTACCGTACGATGTCTGTACGGGAAAGTAGTTAAGTTCACTTGAACACCAAACTGAGTAATAGTGAAATGTTTGATCCTGAAGACAGAATCGAACCCTAAACAAGATAATAAACTGTTTTAAGGGCTCGCCTTACCACTGTTTACACACTGACTTGTTGCGTTGATCAAGACGGACATACAAGTTCAAAGTAGCTCAAAGTTTGTTGAAAATCTTCTGAATATATTAAACGTAGACGACCGTAAACGCTTATGACCTATCTAATTGCGTGGATAGTGACTTCTTAACCAGAAAATTATGAGGAGGCTGAGACGACGAATTCGAAAGTACACTGTGTAGTATTAGTGCTGTAGACTTTGTTTTAAATGTAGCTGTACCATTTTAAGCTGAAACAATTTCGAATACAGTAGCTACAAAAATTATACCTTAGCTGAAACTTGTAACACTTTAGTCCGAGTCGAGTGAATACTCTTTATAAATAAACCGTGTAAAAGTAAAGATTAGTTTTATTAGTTACAATATTTAGTAAAATTATAGAAATTTATCTACTAAACATTCTTCTCCACTTTTTATCTTTTCTCTAACTTTCACACTTTCACTTTTCAGAATCGCCGACAGTATGAAATTGAAGGCCTCAAAAGAAGCATTATCACAATTTCTGTTTGAGTGGATCCGCATTTCTAATGAAAATAACAGATGATCATTTCAATTAGCAGCATAGAGAGTATGTCTCGAGTGCTGACCCCAGCATCGATCTAGGCGGAATACAGTTGAGATTACCGTAGCTGGAATGCATGGCTAAAAATCAATTACTTCTCGTTTTGCTTATTGAAGAAACTTCTATTTTGCCCGTAAAGAAAGGTTGTATCGGACAGGATTTTTTCACAGGCCGACAACTCTCTGTGGATCGGACACCAACATGGCAAATGATAATTTCGATACTAGTATAGTTCTGGCACTGAGCACACCGAAATCTACTCAGCTATCGCCGAGAACCTGCACTTATAGTCAGTCACTGAAGAACATTCAAATTGACGGTAATTAAACAACCTGAGTTCAAAAGATAGCTGTCTTAAACCCAGCGTTAAGCTAGTTTAATTCTTGTCCGAGAGAGAATATGTGATCGACTCGAGTATATTTTGTTGAGCAGGGCTACGAGGTGCCCCAAATATGCTAACCTTATGAAAAAGATTGGGAAATAATATTCAGGTGGAGAGTAAACATGCACTGAATTGCTGGTTGCCTAGGACTAAGCAGTCTAAAACCAAAGGCCTTGATTTGTTAAGATTCACAGCCTGTGAAATTTGGTTGAACTTTGTTCGTTCAAACCCAATTATTCGGGTATGTTCTACTGTTCTCGATTGCTGTTGTGAAATGCATGCATGAGTCGATATATTTTCAGTAGTTCTACATAGGACTGGCGGTCCTTGAATTGCAGACCTCGGAAACAGTATTTTTCATGATCAGTAGCGGTCCTAAGCAACTCTTGCTAGTTACAACTCAGTGAGCTCAGGAAGCGACACGTACATCCTTTGTTTAACTACGTTGTTGTTTGTTGCTTTGATTCTCTTTATCCTATAAATTTATTAACATCACAAACAAAGCAATAACTAGAATAACAGTACATCGCTAAGCTTCGCCGCTCACCACCTTCTCTGTTAAATTTTATGAGGATACCACAACTAAGGGATTGATGCTTCTCATTAAAGTAAAGGTAAAGGAATTTTATCTTTTGTAAACACTTTAAATGACTTTGCTTAAACTCTACCACCAGAACAAATCTGACAAATTGATTTAGAGTGATTTTACCTGAACAGTGAAACAGATACTAACAAATAATGCCAAATTGCATGAGGTAAACAAAAGAAGACAATGGATTAAGAGCATAATAGTGCGTAGTATTCTACTACCTATTTCAAGGATAAAGTAGAATCACTCACTTTGTCACGTTATGGATGATAGGCTTTGCATATAATTTGTACATTTTTCTTATCTAGAAACTTCTTAATTCTATATACTTTATTAAGAATAACAGAGTTATATCATTTATTTTAGTTCAGAGTAACTTAACATTATACTGACAGCTTAAAAACAGGATTCCACTGCCAAGATATTTAAATTTTTTGCGTATGATAAACTAGCCACTCATAGTCACATCATCATAGTCCAAGCTTGGGGGGGGGCAGCG